CTGTGAGCATGTGCCAAGAAGTGCTGATGAGCAGATGATGACCATCATGAACTTGCTTCCCTCTGGTACCAGTCCAGTGCTCTGTTCTGCTGACATTGGTATCAGTGCAAGTGGGCTTACCTCTTCACAGGTGCTGTGAAAATATAATAGATTGCAAATATTTTGGATGAAAACTTAAAGGTTGGCCTAGGATATACTAAAAAGAGTGGAGCAATAGACTAGACCAGCAAGATGAAATCCAAGTTGTGTATTATTTTGGTCCTACATCCTGCCTATGTATGCCAAAGATCAGTTACAGATTTCTAGGCTTGAATCATTGTTGTTTAAGAGAAACCCATATGGCACTTTGGCACTTTAATCGATGCTATAGAATTTACGGGGTGCTGTATATGCCCATGAAGAGATCACTGTTTTAGATTGTGTGGGAAGAGGTGTAATTAAGAGAATGGAACTCCTGCTTGCCTCTGGCTTTGGATGGTGGACCTGGGACAGGAGTATTGTGTTCATTTCTAAACGACTGTTTCAGAGGAGGAACTTCAGGCTCCCCGATGGGGCTGCTTAGATAGTGGGAGTTTTCAAAAACTGCTCCAACAGTTGGGGAAATCTGAGTTCTTTAATAGGAGAATAAGACTAGGGAAGAAGGGAGCATTATCGATCTTTACAGCTATCTAAAGGGCTTTCCTCTGTGGAGAGGTGTGGAGGACAACCCAGAGATTTCCTGACAGTTTCCATTCTAACACTAGAGGGAACTACTTGGAAGTCTAGTAAACATCAGATAGGTTAGAACCTAGAAAATATTTGCATTTCCTTTGAACTTAGTTCTTAATGGATTTTTCGCCAAGACAAATTACCACTTAACTCATAGGTGATCACTGGCACCTTTTCATAGACATGAATGTGAAACACATGAAAGTTACCTTGCTCACTCTGGAAAATGTGGCAGTTGACATATTTGCATTTTTCATTTAATCACATTCTCCTGAGTTATGAGGCAGACTTTTAAAGATCATGTTTATATTTGGGAACAAATGTTTATCTTATCAGAATACCTGGATTGAAATGTAGATTGAGAAGAAAACTTGCTTGTATTGCCTCTGTAACTTACTTCTAGCAGTGCTAAGTTCAGGGGGAGATGTGAAGTAGGCAGGAGGGAAAGGAAGCAGGAAATGTTGCCTTCTGTAATTAAAGAAGTTTTTCCCATTTTCTTTTCCTGTCTTGTGCAGCTTTCTCTTCTATTTTGATTTCTGGTTTTGCTTTCCCAGTCCTACCCTTGAAATAATGCCTTTTCTTTTTATTCTTAATGTGTAATCTGTACAATTTCACCAATAGACAGCTTTTTTCTTTACAGCCTCTATGCATAGTTTTACAAAACTTCTTCTCTCTTTTCTTGCTCTGCCACTACTTAACGGCATTACTGTGGACTGTTTCGTTCTATGATTTCATGTCTTTACCTGGAGCAAGAGTAATCTGTACAATTTCACCAATAGACAGCTTTTTTCTTTACAGCCTCTATGCATAGTTTTACAAAACTTATCTCTTTTCTTGCTCTGCCACTACTTAACGGCATTACTGTGGACTGTTTCGTTCTATGATTTCATGTCTTTACCTGGAGCAAGAACAATAATCAAGGTGATGTTAAAATTTATACCTGGAGGCTATTACAAATTTTAAATAACTAAAATTAAAATTAAATTTTACATTAAATGAATTATGATTTAAAAAGTAAAATTTACAAATAAGTAAAAGTGCTAAGAGTAATACTTCTCCCCTAAAAGGATTTTTTTCTGGCTTTCTGTCCCCATTACCAATGAGTGGCATTTATTGTTCATTGAAAGAGGCCCAACAAGCTATTATGTAATTCTTTAAAAATTAGAATGCAGCCCCTCCCTGGTGGCGCAGCGGGTTAAAGCACTGCACTGGGAAGCCAAAGCCACTTTAGCATGAGTTCGATTCCCGCCTGCCCCGGAGGAGACCACATGGCGTGGCAGACTTCTCCTGGCCCGCCCGCTGCTCCCCTCAGCAGTGTACTTCGTCGATCTGCCTGTTCTGTTCCCCACTCTTGTCTCTGGTGAAGCCTCTCACCGCCCCTGAGCCTCTGGCCTGTACCCCAGTTCTGTATGCACAAATAAATAAGTCTTTAAAAAAAATTAGAATGCAACTCTTTCTAGCAAGACATTAATTTTACAACTATTTGCTACTCTACAGAGTGTGGATTATGGATTGTGGTCTCTGATGCTCTGGTTTTGTTCATCACTACTAAGAATTTATTTATCTATTCTAGCCTTCACAGGTGAAACCAAAAAGATCTCTTGTCTTTAGGCTCATAATTTGGTCCCCAGAGTTCTAGAGATACTCACTTTCTATGGATGACTCATATTTGTGGAATTTCTTGCTTTCCTTGACTTTCTGGGATATCTGTTTCTCTACCCAAAGATGACTGTCTTATTGATTTGCCTACCTTTTTTTTTTTTCCATTTGTGCCAAGAGGACATATATACCTTCAAGAAAAGCACTTTTACAATTGAATAAGGAAATAAATATGGATTTATCGAGAATGTCTCAGGGTCCTGACCCAGAGATGCAAGGCCAGGATCAGAGTATCAACACTAGGTTTGAGCAGTGTGTGGGATGGCTGGACCAGAGGATTCCACTGGCTTGCTGAACAGAGAGAAGTGTGGTATTGTTACATGCTGTGTGTGTGTATCTTTTTTTTGGTTAATGACTTATTTATTTATGCACACAGAACTGGGGTACTGGCCAGAGATGCAGGGGTAGTGAGAGGATCCACCAGAGACAGAGTGGGGAGTAGAAAAGGCAAATCAACGAAGTACACTGCTGCGGGAAGCATTGGGTGAGACCATTGAGTGGTGTGCCAGGCCCTGTGGGTCACCTCCATGGCCGGCATTGAACTTGCACTGAAGCGGCTATGGCTTGCTTCCATTGCTGCACTTTAACCCGTTGCACCACCACAACATTTCATTCAGTGCCTACCACATCTGAAGGTTTATTTAAGTAAAAACAGGGCATTATAAAGTTCTTAAAGGGACCTGAACTATTCTAGTCAGTCAGGAGGGCTCCATGGAAAAGGGGTGCAATCTGAAAATGGCAAAGGAGTTATTTGGGTGAGCTTGGGAGGAGATTCCACATTCCGTGCAGATGGAAGAACATGTGTGAAGGTCCTGATTGATACAAGGAGGAAGAAACATGGGAATGTGAAGAATGAGGACAGTGTGGCTGCAACCTCGAGAGTAAGAGGGCGAATGGTGAAAGTGAGGTTAGAAAAGTGTGTGGGGGAGGAGGGGGGGCAGGCTCATGTGGCCTTGCATGCCAGACAAGAATTTTCTCCAAAATTTAAACCTATCCACAAGTTGCAGGTGTTATGCAGCGAATCACATGGATTTTCAAACTGTTAACATTTTCTAATAGTGTGTTATTTATCTTTCACAAACAAGGATATGTGCACACATGTACACACATTTTTCTCTTTGTTGAACCACTTGAGTAAATTACTGACTATGTCATGTCTAAAGCTTGTATTTTCAAGGACAAAGGTTATTTCCAATATAACCACTATACCTTGGTTTATCAAGAAAGTGAGCACTGGCCCTCCCTGATGGCGCAGTGGGTTAAAGCACTGCACTGAGAAGCTAAAGCCACTTCTGCATGAGTTCGATTCCCGCTTGCCCCGGAGGTGACCACATGGCGTGGCAGACCTCTCCTGGCCGGCCCGCTGCTCCCCTCAGCAGTGTACTTCGTCAATCTGCCTGTTCTGTGCTCCCTCTGTCTCTGGTGAAGCCTCTCGCCACCCCTGAGCCTCTGACCTGTACCCCAGTTCTGTATGCACAAATAAATAAATCTTTTTAAAAAAAAGAAAGTGAGCAGTGATAAAACTCTTTTGACTAATATACAGTTTGTATTTAAATCTCTAGTGGTACCCATAATATGTTTTGTTAACTTTTTTTTTTAAAGATTTATTTATTTATTCATAGAGAACTGGGGTACAGGCCAGAGACGCGGAGGGTGAGAGGATTCACCAGAGACAGAGCAGGGAGCAGAACAGGCAGATCAATGAAGTACACTGCTGAGGGGAGCAGCGGGCGGGCCAGGAGAGGTCTGCCACGCCATGTGGACTCCTCCGGGGCAGGCGGGAATCGAACTCATGCGGAAGTGGCTTTAGCTTCTCAGTGCAGTGCTTTAACCCACTGCGCCACCAGGGAGGGCCTGTTTTTGTTAACTTTTAAAAGATCCAAAATCGAATCAAAAATCATGCACTGCACGCAGATACCTGTTTGAAGGACATATTTATGCCAGCTGTTTTATAAAATGTCCATCAGTTTAAATTTGACTGGTTATTTCTTTGGTGTTAAATTTAGGTTGGACATTTATAGATGACTTGAGGCCCTGACAAACAGCTAACATCAGGAGCATGTGATGTGATATAGTTTCCATCATTATGATGGTAAATTTAGTCACTTGGTTAAGATGATATTCTCCACAGTTCTTGATTCTAAAGATAAAATGTTCCTTTTGTAAGAAATAAAGTAGTCTGGAAAAAAGGTAATCTAAGATTGTGTAAGTATTCTATCCCCCACTCAATGGTTTTTAGCAACCATCTTCCAAGGTAATTGTTACTATAATGATTGCAAAACGGTGATTTTTCTTACTGTATAGTTTCTTCTATATAAGTTGGTATTCTATGAAGAAGAACCTGCATTTCTCCTTTTCTCTTTTTAATCACCATCAGTATAATTCTTATGGATGTCTAAAATTTAAGTGTAAGATTTAATGTGTATTTATAATACATCTATAACACTAATCATTTTGATGTTTCTGTTTTCTCATATTTGATCAGCAAGAACTAAGATTTTTCACAAATATCTGGATTAAGTGAATAAAGTAATTGTATAAAATTTGTAAATAAATCTGCGTGTACCATGCTGTTTTCTCCTGATAACCTATATTTGTTTATCTAACATTTCTGTATTTTTATTTTTTCCTAGATCTCATGTACTAATCGGCTCTCATTCATCAGGGACCTAACAAATAAGTCATCTTGCCGTTTATCGAGACAATGCTTGAGTTTAAAACCATTCTGGAAATGATCAAAGCAGTATCACAATGTGACACTGTCAGGAGACAGCAGGCAGCTTGAGAATTGTTTATTAATCAAACAGCAACTTGAAAGAAGCCCCTTTCCATTACATAAACTGCATGGCCAGCAGCCTCCATTAGAGGGTTGAAAATGAGTGTCCCAGTGGCTCCAAAGAAATCATGTTACACTCAGTTGCGGGATAACAGAAATGGAGCAAAAAATAATAATGAGAGTATCCTAAGTCTAGGCGATACAAATGCCAATCAAATCATGTTGGAGGTCAGTTCTTCTCATTATGACTCTGAGACATGTGACCTGACAGATGAAATTGGAAATGCAAATTCAAGCAAGCCAGAAAATAGTACTCTTTTCAATAAGGGATTTCATCAACCTCAGGACTTTGGAAAAAGATCTCAGCCTGGCTCCACTGGCTTGAAAGATTTTAAATTTTCTTTGACTGTTCATAAAGAGCTAGATGAAGAGCACACAATGGAGAGAGGTACAGACATCTCACAGACCTCACAGAGTATAGAGGGGCCATACCTGTCCAGTGGGAGGAATGTTATGGGTGAGGCCAGTCCAGAAGTTTTGGTGAAAAGAGATGCTGAACTTCCCCGGCATGTTCCCAAGGATAAACTGGCAAAGACTCTTGACAATGAAGAATTGAGAAGGCATTCTTTGGAGAGAGCTGGCAGCTCTGCTGGTATGGGGGATATACTCATGAGGGAACACGTTGGGAGCCTGACATGGCAGCTTTCACAGCCTGTACTTCTGCACTTCCCGGAAACTCCTCGCCATGTGCCAGGTGGTGAGGAGGGACTTCAAAAGACACTGACAGTCCATTCTGTAGGGGCAGGTTTTCCTCCACTTGACAGTACCTCAGAGGGAAAGAGTGTATGTCATCCTATACCATCTACCTCAGAAACCAAGGAGTCCACCCCCTTAGAAGACCAGATGAAGGAGGGGCGTGGGCTGAAAGTTGGCAGAGAGAGCACATCACATTCTTCCCATCCAGAGCCTGCTCTGAATTCAGGCTTTGAGGAAGGCCTGAATAAGCCAGAAGCACATTTAGGTCAGGGAAAGGGAGAGCTGACATTTGCTCAACCAAGGACCATGCAGGGATTGAAGTCAGCCCAGGCAGAGTGTCTGGGATGTCCTAAGGAAGAGAGTATAATACCCCTAAAGAGAGAAGAACCATGTGGGGAACCACACCGTGAGGTCACCACTGGGGCACTTAGCAGTCTGTCACTCAGTGGTCTCCACCTTGGTGTGGGAAGAGGCAGGTGTGAGCAAGAGAAGCTAACAGTCAATGTAGGTGAAGAGGGTTCTCTTCACAGCACCCCAAGACAAGGCCCTGCTGCCTTCAGGCATGATGATAACCAACCCACTGGCAAAATTTCACCAAGTGCAGCTGGGAAATTGGATGAAAAGTCACCCAGCAGCATTTCCCCAGGTAATGGTCATGTAGATTTTATTCCTAATGAGCCTGCTGATAGCAGACCCTTGGGTGCTGGTGAGGAGAGAGACGACATGGACAATGCTATGTTCCCCCCCCCAGATCCTTCTGTTGGAGAAAGCAAAATTGGGGTCTCAAAGCACCTTGACCCTCAAAGCAGCAGCTCAGAAGCAGGGGAAAACAAAGAGATTACTCCAACTGTTGGTGAAAATAGGAACCTTCTCGAAAACACAACTAAGACTGAAAGCACTCCAGAGAGAACAGCTTCCCTTCTCAGTGTCCCAGCACTCCTTCACCCAGAGACAACTGTGAATGTGACCCTACAGCCTACACTTCCCAGTAGCAGCTTCCAGGACTTTGGTGTGTTGGGTGTGAACACAGGATCATCCTCTGTTTCTTCACCTTCCACCGACACCACGCGGTTGATGAACACTTGCCCAAAAGTGCCTGACAAGAACACCTGTCAAAGTGGGATCCCTAAGTCTGTCTTTCCACATTCCGAGGACACACCTTCCTCACAGCAGGGAATAGAGAACCATCAGGTTGAAAAAACAGAAGAAAGGACAGAACCCAAGTCTATTGTTATGCCCAAACCCAAGCATGTGAGACCCAAGATCATCACCTACATCAGGAGGAACCCTCAGGCCCTAAGTCAGGTGGACACTTCACTGGTTCCAGTGGGTCTCCCTTATGCCCCACCCACATGTAGCATGCCACTTCCCAAAGAGGAGAAGGCAGCCAGTGGCGATCTGAAGCCATCTACCAGCCTCTACGAGAAGTACAAGCCAGACCTCCAGAAGCCTAGGGTCTTCAGCTCTGGGTTGATGGTGTCTGGAATCAAACCCCCGGGACACCATTTCAGTCAAATGAGTGAAAAGTTCTTGCAGGAGGTAAGAGAACATCATTCTGATACAATCTCTAAGTTGAGTGTCCTAAAGCTGTTTTTTTTTTTTTTATGTATTTCAATGAGCTGTTGAACACAGAATATTCTCTTGAAGCATATTGCTTTGATGGATACACTTAAAAAAATGGATGTTTTTAACTAGAGGAGCCTGTATAAATTATTAACGGGAAGAGTTTGATGACAAAGTAAGATGTATCTACATCTAAGGAGACTCTTGAAAGTAGATAATTCTGCATTTAAACTGATTTCCAGGTTTAAATAAATGAGCATAATTCTATGTAGCTTACCAATTTGAAGAAGCAAATTTATTTTGGATTTATAATGGGAGAAAAATTGCAAAATAAATGTGTTCTTCAAATTAGTCAGATTTTACCCTCTAGTGGTGTGTGTGGGTGATACTTCCCTTGTGGGAAAATCTAATATTTATACACATGGGCTCTTTTGTTTTAAGTCAAAATAGTAACTATAACTAACATTTAGTTGCATCAGGACCACAGTAGTTTTGGGGGGGTTGGTATTATAGTTTTTGTCATTGTATAGATGAGACACAGATGTGGAGAAATCTGTGTCACCCATCTAAGGCTACAGAACAAGGATAGTGTTGAGATTCTCCCCTAGACCCGCCCAGTTTCCTTGCTGTGCTGTCCCTGCCAGTACTTGGGTGCTAAAATGAGTCATCCTTCCAGACCTCAGAAAGATATGTTTTCTCATGCCAGCCAGAATGATTAGTTTATGAGAAGACTGGGCGGGACATTCCTCTCCATAACACTCTCCAAGTTTGCCAGGCCTCTCACAGCATTGACTAGGGCCTGTAGTCGGTATAGAATGGCTCATACTTCAGGATATGCTCAGTCTGGCTTCAATCTCTCTCTGACTAACTCTGTCTTTCCTTACCTTCTATCTTTCCATACCCCTGGGCCTTTGCACATTCCTGCACTTGGAATGTTCTTAGATATCTATATGCCTTTCTCTTTCACTTTCACTAGATCTCTGTTGGAAAGCTTGGAAAGGTTGTCTCACCTTCCATTTTGAACACCGTTCTCTAGTTTATTTCTTTTTAGCATTTATCTCCACCTGCCATATATAATGTTTTTTGTTTGTTTGCTTGTTTGGCTTTGGTACATTAATTAGAACCTAAGTTTCTTGAGAATAGGTGCTTTTCCCAAGAGCTTGGAAATGTGTTCCCAAATGTGCTTGGAATACACATTTGTTTAAAACAAACAAAAAAAAATGCTGATAAATGAGGGGAGGAGAGATACACCTTGGAGCAAGAGGAAGCCAGCAAAGTCAGGTGCTAACCTACTAAAAATCAACCAAGGATTAAGAGCCTACACCCAGGCCATGGAGGGTGACTGAGAACATCAGACAGTCCTTGTGTATAGCATTGATCTGAAGTGAGGACTGTATGCTTGAGCCAGTGATTCCTGGACATAGGTAATTACAGCTTGAGCCTGTCAGGAAGGTTTTAAAGGAACTTGATGTGAATGAGAAGAGGTCCATTTGTGGCCTGGGATATAAGAGAAGCTCCTCTCCACAACTGACTTCTGAGTTATTCCCACCAACTGTCCCGTCTCTGCCTGTGGCTACTGCTGAATTAATATTCATATAAGGCACATATACCTCTAGTCATAGTGTAAGCACCTGGGCCTTAGCAGCAGTGCTTCAGGGGAAGACTTAGTGAGTGAAAGCCTTTTGGAGACCCTGGTCATGGCTCTGCTCCAAAGCACCTTCCAGCTGCCGCAGCCACCGGGAAGAATTGAGGGAGGTCCATCAGCAAGGCAAGCAGTCTAATACACATAGCACCTAGACCCTAGAAACACACAGCCCTCATTCACCTTTGATTGCATTTTGGTGACTGCAGTCTGAGCTTATAACTCCTGGGTCACTCTGCTCCAGCCTGAAACCCTGGGAAAACTCCTAGGTGAAAGAATCTGCAAACCAAAATTAGCCTGAAGCTGTTGGGAAGCCCTGAGTGGCCTAGGAGACGGGGTTATGAAGTTCCTCCCTTTGGGCACCTGTAGCCCCTCAGGAGTCTAGAACTGTTGGTGCCATCTAACAGAAACCTGCTGCCCAGGTTCCTACCCTCTATTGGTATGAGAGCTTTAGGCATCTAATGAGACACACAGATATCAGTTTATATAGGAACAAGGTGTCCCAAGACACTGGGCAAACAACCTAAGATTATATTCACAGGCTGTATATAATCTTAATATAAGGTAAACACATCGAGTTAAGGAAAAAAAGCTGTTTAACTCAACCGATAAAAGCTAAAAATGAAGAGGCAGAGGAATAAACCATAGAAAAACAACAACAAAAATAAAACACAGGAAATATCTAGGTTCAGCAGGACTAGGTAACTTACCTAAAGAGGAGTTAAAAACACATCCCAGCTTGCTTATTGAAATAAGGAAAACAACTGATGAACAAAATGAGAATAATAAGCATGGAGAAAATATACAAGAGTTTCAAGTGGAAATAATGGACTTAGAAGAATTCTACAGTTGAACTGAGAAATATATCATAGGGTTTAAACACTAGACAAGAAAGAGCAGCTGGTATAATTAGTGAACTTGAAGGTAGAGTAGTGGAAATCACACAAAAAGAGCAGCAAACAGAAAAAATTAGAAGGAATGGAAACTGTCAGATCCCTGTGGGACAATACAAAAAGAAACAATATTCACACCATAGGGGTTCCAGAAAGAGAGAAGAGAGTGAAAAGGGTAGAAACTATATGTAAAAAAAATACTAGCTGAGAATCTTTTTTAATTTGGGAAGGAAACAATACATCCTGATGCAAGAAACCCAGAGTTCCAAACAGAATAAATCTAAGCAGTTATTCACCAAATCATATAATTAAACTGTTAAAAATTGAGAAAGAAAGAATACTCAAAACATCCAGAGAAAGTGATATATATCTAAAGGAACTCCTGTAAGACTTTCATGAATTTCTTGAGGACCAAAAAGGAATAATTCTGAGTGTCTCAGTCACTATCTGGAATGTTTTCTTCCATAAGACTGTTTCTTCATATAATAAATAGAGAAGAGAAGCCTCAGGTATTGGATGGGTCTAATTTCACATTAATCAAAGTATAAGCTGACTCTTGACCTTTGCTTCTATAGCTGCAACCCCATGTGACTCAGGGAGAACCCTGCCTATGCTCAGACTCCAAAAGCTGGCTGGTGTGCCCCCAGACTTGCCACTATACACCTTAACTGGTCTCCAGGGAAAGAAGTTATCTATTTAATAAAAGGGGAAAGTTTTAATAAAAATTCAGATCAGCTTTGGACTCTTCCATCATTATTGACAAATTCCTGATGGTTAATTAATGTAGATAAAAATAGTAGAGTAAGTGTTCTTCTGAGAAAGGGAGTTTTCTTGGATGGCATGAATAACATAGGTATTGAGAGCTTCCAGAAGTAGCTTTGAAAGTCATCTTGGATTTAGGCCATTAAAGTATACTTACTTGTTTAAACTGTTTTCTGCCCTTGAATAGCATGAGGTTTCTGGGACACATCCTCTTACTGAATCCTTGGGGGAACAATCAATTTTTTGTGTAGGGAGGCATAAAGAAGGGGTCAAGAGAGAGGGATGGTGGTGCTTGCAACATGTAGATGTGTGAGTAGGGCTGGTCTCCTACTCCCTGGTACCATATTTTGAAGGACATTGTGTAACTCAGGTTCCTCCAGAGAAACAGAACACACTGCAGGTGTATGTGTGCATGTGTGCATACACATCAATAGTCAACTGATCAGCCAGCCAATCAAATAAAACATTGTCTTACACAACTGTAGCGATTGGTATGTCCAAATCTGCAGGTGGGGTAAATGGCCAGAGACCGAGGGAAGATCTGATGCTACAGAAGTCATTTATTGTAAGATTTTTCTCTCCCTTAAGGGAGGTCAGTCTTTTTTGATTAAAGCCTTCAAATGGGTGAGACCCATTTATATTATGACTAGTATGTTTTATTCAAGGTCTACTGATGAAAAGTTGATCTCATCTAAACATTGCTGTCACATGAACATCTAGAATAGCCTTTACCAAATTCTGGGTTCCTTGGCCTAGTCAAGTTTACAAATAAATTCAACACCTCAAACACTCCCCTGCCAGCAACTGTCCCAAAATCTTCTCGGTGAACTCTCAGTAATTATTCTATGTCTCCTGAACCCATTGCCCCTTTGAACAGACCATGGAGTAACAACCCAGTAAGGACTTACTTGTTTGTGTGTGTTGATCAATTTTAGGGTTTGTTTGAAATTATAGGGAATTTTTTTTTTGTTTGCTCTTAAAACTATTTCTTGAAGACTATTTCATTAAGAAGGTAGAAACAATATTGGGCACTGTTAATCTCTCTATGTTTATGTACTGGAACATCTTGTCTTCTGTCAATAAAGATGAAAGGAAATAGTATGAAGCTTTTTGTAGAATCCCTGTTTTACTCAAAATGTCTAGATCAGGTGCCTGAGGCATATTTTTCACCTTTTAAGAGTCTGTTATCTAACCAGAAACAAATTACCTCCCAAAATGACAGATTGGAGTTACTGGAATCATTAAGTCATTTTTGAGTGATGGCATGATGAGGTTTGATACTATCCAGTTGGAAAGAACGGAGGAGTTACTGAGATCAGCGTATTGCCATCCTAAAATCCTGACAGATATAGGCTAGAAATGAATCGTTTCTTTATAAGAACACTGCTAAAAGCAATGACACCAAGTATTTCAAAACTAAAATGAAAAAAAGAGGAATTATGATTATAATAGAAAAGCCAAAGATAGATAGTGAGAGAGTAAGTAGAGAATTGTAAAAATTTTATCAGAGAAGATGTGGAATGTTCTTTCACGGGAATGTAATTTGCTGTGGTCTGAGTATAATCTATCTACTATAGTAATCATGCATATTTTACAATGTAATTATGATAAAATTTTAAAGGCTTAATCTTTTGTTCCAATAATGTTAATTTAAGGAGAACTTGATATCTGTTTCAACATTCAAAGAGTATCAAATTAAGGTTTTATCTCTTCAATAGCTTGGATCAAAGCTTAATAGCCTCTGTTAAAGAATATTGTTAAATGCTGTGATTCCTGCATAGATAAATTCAACATGTAAAATGTATTGTGACTTAGATCAGAGTTAATTAACAGATGTATCTTTCATACACAGATTTTGGCATTTTTTAATTTAAAGGAAATAGATTATTTAGTTGTTTTACTATTTCTTTTTTAGTAGGAAGAAATATTGATAATCTGAACAGGCTTTGTAAGTTCAAAACTGCAGATATAAAAGGTAGCTATTGTTGAACTCTAGTCCAAACTGTTATTACAGGAAAAAGTAAGAGGGAAATTATATTATTAAATTTCAGAAAGAATGGAAACATGATTCCTTTATTTAATATTTATTGACTCATTCTCTGTATTAAATACGGCTCTAGGGGCTGTCAATTCAACAGTCAACAAGAGCTTGTCCCAGAATTCAATTTTTGTTTCAAGATGTGTTTATTTATGCATATAGTACTGGGGTACAGGCCAGAGTTGCAGGGTCAGTGAGAGGATTCACCATAGCCAGAGTGGGGAGCAGAATAAGCAGATCGAGGAAGTACAGTGCTGAGGGAAGCATTTGGTGAGACAGGAGAGGTCTGCTGCGCCATGTGGATCATCTCCCAGGTGGGGAATGAACTCACACCGAAGTGCCATACCCAGCTTCGGATGCTGCACATTAAACCACTGTGCCACTAGGGAGGTCCTGAGAATTCAATTTTAGTGAAGCTTGCACAAGTATTCCCAGTAGCACCATCTAACCAGAGAAGACAATTAGAAGGCATGATTTGCTGTCTTTCGTTTTTATTTTAAAAATTTATTTATTTATGCATTCAATACCTGGGGTACAGGCCAGAGGTGCAGAGGGTGAGCAGATTCACCAGAGACAGAGTGGGGAGCAGAACAGGCAGATCGACTGAAATACACTGCTGAGGGGAGCAGAGAACAGGACAGGAGAGGTCTGCTGCACCATGTGGGTCACCTCCCTGGCTGGGGATGGAACTTGTGCTGCAGTGGCTGTGGATAGCTTCACAGAACTTTGCTTTAACTCCATGAGTCACCAAGGAGAGCCCTGTTTTTTTTTTTTTTTTTAAAGATTTATTTATTCGTACAGAATTGGGGTACAGACCAGAGATGCAGATGGTGAGAGGATTCACCAGAGACAGAGTGGGGAGCAGAACAGGCAGATTGACAAAGTACACTGCTGAGGGGAGCAGCGGGCGGGTCAGGGGAGGTCTGCTGTGCCATGTGGTCACCTCCAGAGCAGGCGGGGACCCAACTCATGATGAAGTGGCTTTAGCTTCTCAGTGCTGTGCTTTAACCCACTGCACCACCAGGGAGGGCCCTTCATTTTTAATTATATAAAAAGATTACAGAGGCATAAAAAATACAGTTTTCTATTCACTTCTCTATTCTTCCAGATAGCATATTCTTCCTTATTAAAATGCACATATTATTTCCTAAGTCATTTAGTGAAGGCACAAATTGATAAAATCCAGATACTTTAAACTGTAAGAGATTCAAGAGATTGTTCAGTTGTGCTGTCAACGTGGACATGCACACTGAGGCCCAGAGAAGATGTGGGAACTGTGATTAAGCTATCTGTGGCCCACAGTGATCCTTGTTGGAAACCTGGGCTTCTGGCCATGCTCGGTACTCATCTGATGACATGAAGTTCTCCGACTGAGGTTTTGATCTTATGCCATAGGTTACGGAACGCCCTGGAAAAGAAGAATTTTGCTCTCCTTCCTATGCTCACTATGAAGTTCCTCCAACTTTCTACCGGTCTGCCATGCTCCTTAAGCCCCAGCTGGGGTTGGGGGCAATGTCCCGTTTGCCATCTACAAAGAGCAGGATTCTCATTGCAAGTCAAAGATCTTCAGCAAGCGCCATCCATCCACCAGGATCTATAGCAACAGCCACCAGTCTCTACAATTCTGATCCCACAGGTAACCATTCCAACAGTCAGTGGTTTTTTTTTTTTTTTAATTTTCCTGTTGTGCTTTTAAATAGTAACCCTATGAAATGGTGGTTACTGTTTAAACTGTGAATGCCTCTCATTCTTTAGGGGAACTTTTTTCTGTTCTTCCATTTGACTGCAGATAGGCTTTTGTGAGGATATGTCTATCTGCACCTGTCATCCTCAAGGTCACCTATAAAAACGAGGTGATGGTAACCACCTCATCACTCGTAGTTGTTTCCTTTTCTAATGTACCCAGGAGACCAGGGTTTGGAAAACATTTTCTGTAAAGAGTCAGTAGTAAATATGTAGGCCTCACAGCCATCGCAGACTGTGTTGTGACTACTCCGCTCTGGTGTTGCAGCTTGAAAGCAGCACAGGCAACACGTGAGTGGTAAGGATGCAGCTGCATGCAATGCAGCTTAATTCACAAAAACAGAGGGTGGTTGAACTTGGTGCAGAGGCTGTAGTTTCGCAGAGAGATCTTCAGAGGGCACGGACACCATCAATCTCTTCATACTCTCTTTTGGCCACAACGCTTGAATAGAGCTCCTGTTTGCTGGTAGATGGCTTTACTGCCCTTCCCAACCTGTCCTGCTGCTTGTAGTAGTTGAGCTTTGTCATGGCCAAACATGACCTTTTTGTTTTCCTCTCTCCTTTCTGCTCATATGGTTTCACCAGGCTTTATGTATTAATTTGTTTACAGAAATAATGCATACTCAAGATAAAAAAAAAATTGACATAGAAAAGTATGGAGAAGAAAGTAGTAGTACCTCTATTTAGTATTAATAGTACAGAATTTTTTATTCTGAGATTTTTTTCTATTCATATTTAATAGTTGAAATAACACTGAATGTGAGGTTTGTTTTCCTACTGATACCATACTATAAGCATATCCTATGGATCAAGGTATTTCAATGCTATTTTAATGGCAGCATGTTATCCTGTTGTGTGCATTTATTTCCTTATTTAATCAATAAGTTTAGATGTTTATTATACCAGGAATTGTGAATTGAAGAATGTAGCCATGAACAAAGTAGAACTCCTACCTTTATGCAGCTCACAGCCTGAGAGCTGAAAATGATTACAAAAAATAAACACAAAATAAACAATTACAAATTATTTTAATGTTACAGAAACAAGCAACATGACATTTGGGGAGATTGTAATCAGAATTGTTGCAGGTATGGCACAGAAATGTTTCAGGGAGACTCAGAAAGATTGGAAAGAGCGGCTGGTGATGGGTAATAATATCAGAATTTAATATTTTCTTACCGCTGATAGCAGTTTCTGCCTATTTGATATTATTTTAAATAGTGTTGTAATACAAACCTTTGTATATACTTATTTGTCTTCATGGATAGATATTTGACCTATAATTTGGGTAAAGGCATATCCAAGCATTTTTCTAAGGCTGGCTAATTAGAATTTTAATTTATTAGAATTCTCACTTATTTAGGTAATTATTTATGATCATTACTATGTTCATAAATGGTTAGATTTTATTTTTGAGAAACGCATGCCTATAAAAAAATCAATTTTCTTTATGGTTCCCATGATACATGTAGCTTGTGGTGGACCCACCTGAAATTATCACAACTGCTGCAAGTTAATTATGTGATTCAGTCACTCATTCAACCATAGATATTGAAGGATGTTACATGTCAGTGCCGGTGCGGGGAACAGAGCAGTGACAAAAGGCGAAAACCCTTGCTCCCGCAGGTCATAAATTTGGTAGGTTGAAATAGGATAAGGGATGAATATAATATTTTTTAGAGAGAAGCTGTTGGTGATTTGGATCCCTCAGAGGGACCAGTTACTCAGTAGGAAACACATTGGGGGATGTTTTGTAGGATTGGTGGGGATGTAGATGGTTATTTCACACATGCAGAGTTTGAGGTTCCTAGGGATGTTTAGGTAGAAGTTTTCAGCAGGAGAGAAGTCTAAGTGAAAGATATAAATGTGGGGGTCATCACCTCTTAGGTGTGAGTTGAATTTATGGGAATGGATGAATAGATTCAAGGAGAGAGAAGTTAGAGTAAAGAAAGTGCCAAGAAAGTAACATTATACCTACAACTAAGGCATAGCTAAAGAAAGAAGTCTACAAGAGAAAAATGGAAGGGCAAGAGGGGAGAATACTAGGAAAATTAGCATTTGAGTCTAAGTAGGAGAGAGTTTCCAAGGCAGAAATTGGTCAATACTGCATCTCAGGAGAAAGGACAAATAAAAATGCAAAGAGACTGTTGGAGTTGGAAATTAGGGAGCAGTTGGCGACCTAGTTTTGAATGAGCAATTTTAGTACATTGTGGAGGTGGCAGTCACATATTAGTAGGTTGAAAAATGAATGAACAGTGAGGAAGTGAAAACAATGTGAATAGGTTGCTATTCTAAAAATGTACCGATGGAGAAAGAGCCACAGGTACTAATTGGAGTAGGGGCAGGATCGAGTTTTGTTTTGTTTTTAAAGTGTGGTGGAAGATGTTGGAACTAGTTTGAAATGAGGGAAAGAGTGGCCTGTGGAGAAGCTGAAGGGTGTGGCTGTGGTTAACTGTTAGAAAAATATTCCCAGGAAGGTGGCAGATGACTCAACTCAAGATCCCAAGGTTGTAATAGATGAAAATCATTGATTCTTTTAAGACAAAAGAGATGAGGAATAAGAAAAAACAGAGTGGGTGAAGTGTTGGTTTCCATGCCAGGATTGAGAACAGTATAACTGACATCACCCAAGTGACATTTCACTATTTTTACCACTGTTTTAATTAATTGTACAGGAACTGTAGCATATACCAAAGAAGAATTAATTTAGGAAAATGTTCCCTTAGTGCAAACTGCTGAATTACTCAGATGGTAAAAGAGAGCACACTGCAGTTGCCTTTGTGTCTAATGATCTCGGGTGACCTTGAAATTTATCTTTGAGGTTGTAGAGGAACCTACAATATGTTCTGGCTTTTGTCTTACCTCTTTCAATGTTCTCATTCCTCTATCCTGTTGAAATGGAGACTGATAATGACTGCATTTTCATTGTGCTCCCAACGTTGTCTTTTCTCTGGCTTACTTTCATTGAAATAAAGCATGCCAATAATGCCCTGGAGAAACTAATTAAAAATTCAGGTTTCCTCAGCCCAGAAATAGAGAGGCAGCTTCTGTGATTCTAGACTGGAGCACCAGCTAACAACTATTATTTTTCTATTTATTTAGCTAAACACTGTCTGTATAGTTTATAAATTGAGCAACTACTATATGTCAGATTTTCCTGGGGTACTTCAGTCACTGTACAGTGTGAATAAATTCTGTGATCACAAAGTCTTTGAGCTCAGGTAGACAGAGGGGAATCTATTCTCTAGGGAAGGCCCAGGAAAGTTTCTAAAATGTAGTGTGTGGTGTGAAAGGCAAAGAATTTGGGGCATAGAAAAAAAGGGTAAGGAAATGGTAGGAATGGGAGAAGGGGTATTGCAGGCAAAGGCCATGGTGCATGAGAAGATTGGTGTAACTACAATGTAGAGTGTGAGGGGAAAGATAAAAAAAAGGCAGAAAGTTGTGGTGGTCTTGTTAAGGCGAAGGATGTCCTAAAGGAACTCTGAGAGTCTTATGGACTCCACCCCCTACTCCAGCTTTCTGGACCCTTCACACTACTCCAGTGACTGGAAACTACAACTCCCAGCAGTACCAGGGAGAGAACTGCGAGGACCCAAGGGTGGAGTTAGCAGGAAGGAATTCTGGGACACTTGGGGGGATAAATAGGACGCAATTGTATCTCATGTGCACTGGCTTTCTGGCTCTCTGGCTAGGGAAACAGCTCTCCTGATTGCGTGACTTGGTGTGTTCAGTCAGCCTAGCTGTGAGGTATTCCACTTGCTTTGTATCCCGCTCTCTTTCCCTGGGTTGTTTCCTATTCCTTTCCCCTTTTGTAAATAAAGCCGTTATTGATCCTTTTGTGTGTACCTGTAGTGTAACTGAGTTGTGAGCATGTGGGTGAGGCCCCACAGACAGGCGGCCCAGTCCACTCTGGGCTACCCTGTAACAGTTTGGCAAGCTGTATTTTAACTTTTATAATAAGAACAGGATGGTTCATTACATGCTTTTAAACTAGGGTACAGTAAGATCGTATTTCACTCATATTCATTTGGACTGGAGTTCGGAGAGTGGATCATGGGTCAGCAGTGGGGTGGGGTGGAGTAAAAAGGATTGGAGGAAAGGATCCCTTCTGAGATTGTTACTGTCTACCCAGAATGATAGGCTAATCCAATGTATTGGTTTTGTGCGTTGGGGACTATGGGGTATTGGAGAGAAGTGTAGAACTGGGTTTCAGGAGGTGAATTTAATTAACTCCTTGACCCCATGAGTCAAGGTCATATCAGAATAAATACGAAGAAAAATAATTTAAGAGTAAAAAGGCAGGGGGAGGAGTGTCAGATCTAGCTCAGTTATAGGCAAGAACCCACCCCACATTCTGGGGCTCAGCTGAAGAGTGAGTCCTTATGATTAGCTGATCCATCTGTTTGCCTTTTAAAATGATAGTGAAGTTGAGGCTATCTAGATATTTGTTGTCCTATTATTTTTTTACCTTGGTCATTGTGAATTTCAGAAGGCTGTCTGGTTTTTCATTGTGCATGAACTGTTATTATAAGCGTGTTTTCCTAAATTTATCTTTACACATTATTTATCTTTACACATTCTTTTCCTTCTTAATAAAAATCTATATAAAAACATGATTTCAAAGCGTAGGTTCAGAATTGGAAAGGAGTAAGTGGTTTGAGGAGGTAGAGCCTCAAACTGGAGTGAAGAATATAGACTCATGCAGTAAATGTTTGCTGGATGCACCATGTCCCAAGTTTGTACTTATTGAGGCCCATTGGTTTACAATGTTGCCTATATTTTTAGGGGCTAGGTTCAATCACACTTCTTCCAATATATGTGGCCATACCACACCTACCACCGAAGCACCCAGTGTTCTTCATCATGTAACATTGGTCCTATGCCCTTTGTCCC